ATCCCCCCCCCCCCCAATCTGTAAATACTACATTTGCTTGTTCATTCGGCCATCCGCATTTCTTCTGTGCCTGTTAACATTTTTTATACATTCCTCTTACGCCTTGCGACATATCATCATCTCTCTTTGATGTACGAGGTCGAGAGACCTCAGGCGAATGCGGCGCTGGAGGCCAAAATATGATGCCCGGAATAGTTACAGCACATCAAGTCATCCACATGTTTTTAAAATACGTTGAAAAGCCATAGAACATGCGTAGAAGCTCCAGCTCTCATTTGATTGTGCGCAAGGACGGCCAGCCCTTTTTGTATGTGGGGCAAGAGACAGCAAAAGCGTCACGTCACGCACGTTGGAGAGAGTGTTCTCGATACTTCCATGGAACAATGTGTTTTTGTAGGATGGCATTTGTATGACGACGAAGTGACCAGGTGTCTGGACAATTGCACGATCTTTCTGTGTGTAGTATACAGCGCCATGTTTGGGGATTTAGCAGTCATTTCCGTCTTGACTTCTTTCCAAACTCATACCAAGCCTCACCGATTTTTCCTTGAAAATCGTCTCGCACGCCGCAGTCTCATGACCACAAGCCGCAGCAATGAGGAGTGGGTCCTGGCGTCCTACCCCGAAGGTGTGCCCACGCCTGACAACTTCCGTAAACAAATCTGCCCGATGCCCGTGCCCGGTCCTTCGCAAGTGCTGGTCAAAACTTTGTGTTTAAGTGTGGACCCCTACCTGCGCCTGAAGCTGTACCCCGTGCCCACTGAATCAAGCACCGACACGGCGGCTACGAAGGGGCAAAATGCGAACAATAAGGACGAGGAGGATACGAGTGAATTTGCGCCGTTTAAGCTAAACAAGCCATTAAGTTCCATGTTTATCGGCGAGGTCGTCAGAACAGGTTCTGATGTGACGGGTTTTGCAGCCGGGGACCGCGTCTCGGGCCTTGGCGTCTGGGCGACTTTTGCAGCTTTTGAGGCCAACACTCTTCGCAAGGTGCCCTCTGACCTCCCACCTTCGGCCTACCTTAATGTTTTGGGGTTGATTGGGCTCTCTACCTACTTCCCCCTGGTGGAAATCGGGCAGCCCAAGGCAGGGGAGACGGTGTACGTCTCGAGCGCGGCCGGAGCCGTCGGGTCCCTGGTGGGCCAGCTCTGCAAGCTGTGGGGATGCAGAGTAATCGGGTCGACAGGCTCGGACAACAAGGCGGAGGCCCTAAAGGCCTTAGGCTTCGACCACGTCTTCAACTACCGGACACAGACCGTGGCGGCCGCCTTGGAGGAATGGGCTCCGGAGGGCTTAGACCTGTACTGGGACAATGTAGGGGGGGCGACGCTGGACACGGTTTTGACCAAAATGAAGCGCCAGGGTCGAATCGTCGCCTGTGGAAGCATTTCCCAGTACCACGTGTTGGGTTCGGAGGCCGCGTACGGGGTGAGAAATTACTTCAAAGTGGTGGCCTCCTGCCTAAAATGGCAAGGCTTCCTCGCCTCGGACTATGTCGGGCGGTCGGACGAATTATTCCTGAAGCTGGGGAAACTGCTGCGGGAGAAAAAGATTAGGGCCTTGGAGACGGTGTGGGAGGGACTGGAGAAAGTTCCAGAAGCTTTCATCGGCCTCTTTTCCGGGAACAACCTGGGAAAGATGTTGATCCAAGTCGCGGAGCCCTCGACGCCCACAGGCCCGGGAGAAGACAAGGAGGCGGACAAAGAGGGGGGAGCCAGGGAGGCAGGGCTGCGCAGCAGGGCTTTGGAGCCTGGGAGGTTGGGGCTCGAAAAGGAATTGGCCGAGGTCCGGGAGATGGCGGGTCTGGCCCATGGGGCCCAAGTGAAAGCTGCCCTGGCCGCCTTGGGCGCGCGTCTGGAGAAGGACCTGGCCAGCGTTTCCGCCTCGCCCGCCTCTTCCATCCCCGCCGCGGCGGCTCCAGCCAAGGAGCCTGTCTCCCGGGGGAGCGCGTCGCCCTCCGACTTGGTGGCGGGCTTGGCGCCCACGTACACTGCCATCGATACCTACGGCTGGGACCAGGGGGAGTACAACAGTCCTTGGGTGTCCGTCTACGTGACCCTTCCTGGGGTGGGCAAGGTCAAGGAGCGGGTCTTCTGCTCCTTCGGCCCCACGTCCTTCGACCTGAAGGTGGAGGGCTTGGCAGGGAAGAACTACCGGCTCTTGAAGGACAACCTCGAGAAGGAGATCGTGGCGGGGGAGAGCAAGTTCAAGGTCAAGGAAGGACGGGTGACGGTGCTGTTGAAGAAGAAGAAGGGAGAGTTCGGGTCGTACGATCATTGGATGGGGTTGACAGCCAAGACGAAGCCAGGGGGGGGAACGGGGGGGGCCGGGCTGGGGAAGGGGGACCCCATGGGCGGATTAATGGACATGATGAAGCAGATGTACGAGGAAGGCGACGACACGATGCGAAAGACGATCGCGGAGTCCATGATGAAAGTGCAGCGCGGGGACAGAAGCGGGAGCGGATTGCCCGAGTTTGGGAAGGGGGGCCTAGGAGAGGACGATTTCTAGGAGGGCGGAGGGCGCCTCAGAGGAGCGTGCTCGGCTTTCGAACCGCTCAATAGGTAGCGGAGGAGGGCATGATGAGCTTGTGCGAGCGAGGCGACGCTTTGAGGGGGAAGGAGGGAACAGACTTGGGGGGGGTAGCGGCTAGTGGAGGGGCGGGAGGGATGCGGAGGGCGTGAATCAAAAGAGCAGGAAAAGAATGAAGAAGAGGA